TGTCACATTCTTCCTCATAAAGTCCAGCCTCCCAAAAGATCTGTTCTACATATAGATTGAAAAGGTACAGAGACAGAATGCATCCCTGACACACTGCTTTCCTGATTTTGAACCATGTAGCACTTCCTTGCTTTGTTCTGACTACTACTTCCTAGTCCAAGTATATAGATTTCACATGAGCACAATTCTGTTCTGTGGGCTCTAAATCCAATGACTAAAAAAAAATAAATCTTATTGTCCTCCAGTTGGAAGCAACTCAGAGAGAGTTTTCAGAAGCTGCAAAGTGTACCAGAGGAGATTGCCCTTCTTTCTCCCCCAGAGCCTCTGGTGGATTCAAACCACAGGAGATGTGTCATCTCAGGATTAGCGGAACAACTCCATAGAGATTATACCACCAGAGCGCCCCACAGTCAATGACTAGTGCCCTTATAAGGCCATGTGAAGATATATGACTCTATTGTATGCTGTTGTATGTCATTAAGTATATTTCCCCTTATAACTACCCAATATAGGAACAGACCACCACATCTTTCCTTCTGCAGAGACATTAGTGGGTTCGAACCACTGACATTCTGGTTCTACCCACTACACCATTAAGGGCAGAGGAAGATGGAAGAAGGTCTTAAGAAGATAGAAGTAAGTGGCAAGAAGCTGCACTGCAATCCCAGAGGCACGCAGTTCAAATCCACCAGATGCTCTGCTGGAGAAGGAGGGGCAACCTCCTCCTGTACCAGTCGGATCTGATTTGATGGTATACACACAAAAAAATAAAAAAAAAAAAATTTAAAATAATTATTTTAAAAAAAAAGAAGAAGAAGATAGAAGTAGAGAGAGTAATCCAAGCTAAGGACTGCTGAGAAGCCATCTGAAGCCAGGAAAAGGCAAGAAAGAATTCTTCCCTAGAACCTTCAGAGGGAGTCTGACCATTCTGATACCTTGACTTCAGACTTCAAAACTCAAGAACTGCGAGAAAAGGAACGTTTGTTGTTTTAAACCACTGAGTTTCTGGTAAATTGTTATGGCAGCTCTAGGAAGCTAAAATGGCAAAAAGGATTTGACAAATTCAGTGGTGGCTTGGTCATGCCACATGACTGTTGGTTTTTTCTCTTTTCTTTCATGTAGAGTTAAAAGATGTCCTAGTTATAATAAAAATGACAGTAAAGTGAGCCTAGAAGATGGATGGGAACAGCAGGGATGAGGAGGGGAACACAGACAAGCAGAACAAAGACACTGTCCTCCTGCACCTCTAGTCTGAGTAGGTAAGTGACCTCACACACGCTCCAATCTACCTGTGCCCCCGGTGTCTGCAGCAGGGGTGAGAGTGCTGAACTTCCTCAGGTATGCTGGAAATGAGGACCATGCAAGACCTCAAGTACTGCAGCAACTAGTCTCCTCCTGCCCCAACCTGAAGGAACAGAAAGAGAACAAGCTTGCAAGAGGGGCAAGCTTCTCATGATCTTCTCACGATCTTGGGTGGGGGGTCGAGAGGAGGCAATGCTCTCACTCCAGAGTCCAGGAGGCTGGAGGAGGATGACTCAGCTGGTATGGGGCACTTCATAAATTAGGGTATCAGTAGTCTGGGTTTCCAGGTTCCTGTTGACTCTGGAAAGAATTTCCTGAACTGGAGGGAGCTCTGGCAGCCTAGTGGCAAGAAGCTGCACTGCAATTCCAGAGATACACAGTTCGAATCCACTTAGATGCCCTGCTGGAGAAGGAGGGGCAATCTCCTCCTGTACCAGTCAGATCTGATTTGACAGTACGCACAAAAAATAATAAAATAAAATTAAAAAAAAAAAATAAAAAGAAAAGCAACTGGATCTGAATTTACAAACAATCAGAGACTTCACGAAACTTCAGCAGCCAACTTGGGTACCTGGGGGCACCTAGGACCAGCAGATGAAGGGGCAGGCAAGCAGAGGACTGTGCAGGAGGCTGTAGGGAGAGAGACACTACTGTGCCAGGAATTCGAAAGGGTGGTGGAACAGCACTTCTGGGGGCCGCTGAGGAAAGCCAAAAGATCTAGCCAACTTCTAAAAGGCCTGCCTTAGCCTCATGCTCTTGCTAAGACCTCCTCTCCAGGCCAAAGTATTTGCAGGGGAAACACTTAAATGAAAAACCCCAAGATTTAAGGTCGATCTCTACCTTTTCATTCTCTTTGGCTTCACTTTCAAAACTGAAGCAGGTGGAGTCCAAGACTACTATCTCAGATTAGCAAACGCTCGCAGATGAACCATAGGGCTACACACACAAACAGAATCTTTCCAGAGGCCAGCTCCAGCCTACCTCTAGCCCTGGCCACAGCAGATCAATCCCAGCCAGGACTGAGGAGGAGGAAAAGGAAGAGGATGGGCAGCCCACTGAAGATGCAGAGAGTGGCATCCTGAATGAGTCTTCCACGGTCTGGGGGAGAAGGCTCCGGACCTGGGCTTGAAATATAAACAGAATGTATACTGGAGCCAGATCCACAAAGAGGGACAGAGCAAGGCAGCCTGAGTGCTTGGGCTGCGGTCCAGTAAAAAGACTTCTCCTGGTCCAGATGGTTTTCTCCCATCTCAACAAGATACTACTGCCCCAAGGAAGCGAGGACCCAGGGCAGAAGAGGAAGCAGTAGTCTGAACCCAAATCCTTCTCTTCCACCTCACACAGCTGCCTGGGCCTGAATCCCCCTCTTTGACCTCACACTGCTGCTAAACTTGAATCCCCCTCTTCAACCTCACACTGCTGCCTGGGTCCAGGGAGGCCTTAAAGAACACTGACGAGTCCTTAGGCTACAGTGGCCTTGATCTGAGGCTTTGGGGAAATGGAAAGGATGAGAAAGAGGGGAGCAGGGAAATGGGAAGGAGCAGTGGGGAGGAAGACAAGAAGTCAAAGGAGCATTTGTTCTGCTAAGTAACTTTTTGTTGTAAAAAAATGGCCCCAGATTCTGACCACGTGAACTCTAGGGCATAGCTTTGTCTGCCACACCCACCACCTCCTTGTAACCAGCTAGTCACACCAAAGGCTGATTACACATATCTGACACAAGCATATACACCTCCCTCTCAGCCTGTTTTCCTCCCTCTGTGCTGGCAGAACCCACCTCTCTGAACTCCATAACCCAATCTCTCTGTAAATTCTTCCCAAGAACGTACTTAAATCCCTCAGTTAGTTGATTAAACTCTCCTCCCTCTAATGCATGCACAGCCTCCTGTTTCTGGTGCCAGGAGAAGTCCTGGCCTCCTATTCAAATTCAACTCCAATCTTCAGGGATTGAAGCAGGTAAGAGCAGAGCTGTCACTCTGAGAAGTGGGGGCCACATAAGCACCCTGAAACTCAATGCCTTCAAGGCTCAGCTCAACTATGGGTGGGGGCTGGGGAGTATGACAACAAAACCTGAAGCATCCAAGCCTGAGAAACGGGGTATGGTCCAAAAGAAACCAAAGGCTCAGTGGATGCCTTTATCTCTCCAGTGTGTGCCAGGCACCCCCAGTGGGCAAACACAGAAGGTACTACAATGACCAAAGACACGAACAGAAATCTCTGCCCTAATGGGGCTGGCCTGATGGTGGAAGAGACACAGAAGAACACGGTATGTCTGGTGGTGATCCATTTAATGAAGAGAAATTAATCAGGGATGATTATTGTGTGGTCAGAGAAGGCCTCAGTGACGATACAGATCCTGAAGCTGGTGAAGGAAGGTGCTATGCAGACATGAAGTACCAGACAGAGGGAACACCAAGTACAAAGGCAAGAAAGTGGCAAGTGGCTAATAAACAGAAGGGACAGGAGGAAGGCGGATGTGAGTGAAGGGAATTAAAGAAGTGATGGTAAGAAGGAAGGGTAGGAGGTGAGGTGAGAGAGGCAAGGGATAAGGGTAAGGTGAGTCGGGAAAGGGGAGAGAGGTAAAGGGGGAGGTGAGTGATGAAGAGAGGTGGGGGCAGACTGTGCAGAACATGCAAGAGACCTCCCAGTGGAAAGGGGGTGCCTGGTGCCAGAGGCAGTTCCCACATACCTAGGCATGTCCCAACCTAAGACCTCCAAACAAAGCCCCCACCTCAGAGGCCCATGATGGATGGAAGCAGGAACAGAGCAGCAGATACAGGGCCCCTCTGTGGGCTAGGAGGAATCCCTCTATCTCTTCCCACTACAGGGTCTCCTCCCACACTCTGACTGATAAGACAGGATGAAGCCCCAGTCAGCAGCCAGCCAAGAGGCTGCAGGACTATCTCCTATCCTGATCCCCTCCCAGCATCCCTGGGGAGGACAATCTCAGCTAATCTCCCGCAGAGGTGCAGCCCCGTGGGCAGACATGGTGGCAGCAAGCCCGGCATGTTCCACCCTGCCCACCACACCCAGGATCTGTCTGTGTGGGCCTTCACTGGTAGTCACAACAATAACACTTTATCCTGCCTTGGCACATTCACAGTCAGGATGTCATTTCATTCTCATAGAGGTCTACAGGCCAGCGGGAAGGGCCTGAGGGTCCCACTGGCTGTGGAGAACACAGACCCTCTGAGAGAGAAGACGGCCGGCCACCAAGGTCACACAGCAGAGCCAGGTCTGGGCTTCCCAAGTCCCCTAAGGCACAAATTACTACAAACTGAGACTAGGGGCACAACCATGTCAGAGGAGGTTCTGTTCATGTCATGCTCCTGTCATCACATAAACAAGGGGCTGGAGTCACAGGAAAAGGCTCTCACCCTGGGCCTCCCCAAAGCCTGAGGCAGTTCTTTCAGCTACTCTCATTCCCTCAAAAAATGCCCAGCCACACAGACAAAGAAATCCCTGTGGCTGGTGAGGAGTTCCAAGGAGGGAGGCCCCCTGCACACAGAAGTGGGTGTGCCCCAGGAGTGAGGCGTGGCCCCACACACAAAGAAGGCGCACAGCCACCCTGTGCCAACATGGTGGCACCTCAAGTAGAAGGCCTGGCTGATTCAGCGTGCTGGGCCAGAGTGGGAGCTGAACGAGTGCAATCCCAGCTCCAGAACTCAGAAACCTGGGAGGGGAGTAAGAAATCTTACCTCGAAACTTCTTAGGGGGATTATCCAGGTCCCCAGCAGCAGGCTCCACCACGCAGCGGTCATCCACCAGCCTGGGAACAAGGGAGATTGGTCAGTGGGGAAAGAGGACGCCCATCTTCCCACAGCACCCTTCCTTGAGGGTCAGGGGCTTGAGGCCACGAGAGCAGCCCCCAAAGTGTCTTCCTTCTTCACTGATAAGTACCACCATCAAGTCATTCTGGGGGGAGCCCAGTGCCCCTCACATGCCCAGGAAGAGCCCAGGGGCATGCTCTGGCCCTTGACATGCCCTCTGATCCTCTGGGAGCTAAAACTGTCCTTCATCTCTAGTGGGGGTTCTGCTGCATCTAAGATATTTGTGCACGACGGACATAACTCCTTCAAAGCCTTGAGTTGGCTACCTGGCCCTGAGAGGGTCAGTACAATGCCACAAAGTCAGAGAAAACAGAGAGAGAGAGAGACAGTGGGTGAGGAAAAGAATTATAACGAGGCAGCGAAAGAAACAGAAAAGGGGCATAAAACATTAAATCAGTGAAACAGAGAACGGGAAACAAAGGCAGAGAGAGAGCAGAGGAAGAGATAAGACACGAGTAAGACATCAAACTAGAGGGACAAGCTTTTAAGGGCATCATTTCATTCTCTTGTCTTTGGTCCACCCTTCCAGTTACTGTTGAGTCTATACTCACACACGGAAACCCTAAGTGTATCAAAACAGAACTGTATTTCATAGGATCCTCAAGGCTAATTTTTCTGAAGTAAATTTCTATCCGTTGGAGCCAAGCAATTTAACTACTTACACCAACCAATGACTTTTTTGGCACATTCTAACTCATAAGCCCCAAAACCCCATCAACTACACAAAAAGCAAAACAGATAAGTCTTGTAGAAAGAGCAGCCAGAGTGCTCCTTAGAGGCAATGACGACAACTCAGCTCACATACTTTGGCCATGGTGCTAGGAGAGGCTAATCCTTGGAGAAGGATGTCATGCTTGGAAAGGTGGAGGGTTCGTGAGAAGACGACCCTCAACCAGATGGATTGACACGGTGACTGCAGTAATGGGCTCAAGTGTATCACAGATGATGAGGAAGGCCCAGGACAGGACAGGGTTCTGACTATTCATAGGTTCACTGTGAGTCATATCCAACTCAACAGCACCTAGCAACAACTCATTGCCATCAAATTAATTCCAACCCACATTGATCCTATAGAACACGGTAGAACTGTCCCAAAGGGTTTCAAGACAGTGATATCTATGAAAGCAGAGTGCCAGATCTTTCTCCCACAAGCAGCTAGTAGGCTTAAACTACTAGCTAATTGACTAGCTAATAGGACTCCACTTAGCTCATCCTAAGGCCTGATAATTCCTCCTTAGAGCCATGGCTGAGGTTAATCCTGCATTTCTGGAGGGTACCCACTCCCCTATCTAAGCATCCATCCATCCATTCATCTACCTGTGCTTCAAATCCTTCAATGCCTCCCAATACCATAAAGTGATGATGCTCTTTTTGTTATGTGCCATCAAGTCCACTATCTCAACCTTGTCCACTATTTAAAGGCTATCTCCAACATCTTACCTGTTGTTTCTGCGTTCTCAACTTCCCCAAAAGAGGCTAGTCATTATAACCATTTTCTAGAAGAATAAACTGAGTATGCAGATTAAATCGCCTCAAGTCACAGAGCTGATTCCAAATCCAGAGTTCCTTTGGTGCCTCCCCTTCCTGTGTTGGTTAATAAGACCTTTTCTGATTTGACCTCCACTTGCCCAACTTCACAGCTCCTTTGTCCCAGACATGCTGAACCTTATGCTGACCTCAAGTTTCCTGGAACTATCAGGCTTTACAAAGATAATGCAGCAGTCTGCGATCACATCCATCCGCTCCAGCTCCTGAACCCCCAAGTCTAGCCAAACCGCTATTCACTCTTTTACTTCCTGTGGAGCCATCTATCAACCCAGCTTACTGAGCCAAACAGTTGGTCTAGTGCCTCTCAAGTGCACTTTTCCCTCTGGAATCACCAGAACTTTGCACAATGCCTGGGCAGTCATAACAAGGACAATAATAACTGCAAGCACAATTTTGTTTCTAATCCTTTACAAACAAATGTGTTTCATTTTATAAATTTATTTAGCTCTCATTATTTCCATTTTGCAGGCAGGGAAACAGACTACAGAGAAGTTAAGCAACCTGACCAAGGGCATAGCCAGCAATCAGCAGAGCTGGGCTTGGAACCCAGGCCATCTAGCATCGCAGCTGGTGCTCTGGACCTCACAGTGACAGAGGGGGAAGAGGTTCAGCTGCTCCTTAGTGTCCTCTCAACTTCCTTTCGTCTCCCCAACCTCCAATCCTTGACCCTCTTGCCTCCTTCATTTACATTCCTTGGTCTTCCTGACCATCCACATGGGTTTAGAAGCATCATTTGTCTACTCACTAATTCCCAAACTCGTTTCCTTCCTTGAACTCATACATAGTCGAAACTAAGTGTCTACTCAGTGTCTCCACTTGGACATTCACAGGCATGTCTAACTTGGCATGTCTAAAACCGAGTCTCTGGACTCCCACCTAAACATGCTCCACTTGAAGCGCTCCCCATCTCAGCTGATGCCAACTTCATCCCTTCCACTGCCTGGACCCTGTTATGGACTGAACTGTGTCCCCCAAATACATGTATTGTATATCCTATACTTATGAATGTAATCTCATTCTGGATCATGGTGTTCTTTGTTATGGTAATGACTCTAAATTAGTGTCAGATGTGTCTTAAACCAATCACTTCTGAGATATAAAAAGAGCAGATTGGGCACCAAAGTGAGCAAGCACAGATGGAGGAAGACAGATGCCACACTGTTTTCACACGATGATCGCCAAGGAAGCAAGGAACAGAAGCTGAGAAGTGACAAGGACCTCCTCCTGGAGCTAACAGGGAAAGCGAGTCTTCCTCCAAGTGCTGCCGCTCTAAATTTGGACACTGGCGTCCTAAACCGTGATGCAATTAATTTCTGTTCAGTAAAGCCACTCTATCTGTGGTATTTCTGTTATAGCAGCACTAAGTGACAAGATAGGCCCAAAACCTCTAAGCAAAGCTCGACTCCTCCCCTCCACTTACCCACCACACAATGGGTCAGGTAATTCTGTGGGTGCTACCTCAAAATAGATCCAAATTCGACCTCTTTTCCCTTTCACCATCATCCTGGTCAAGGCCCTAGCAGCTCATGTCTACTCCTTGGTCTCCCAGGCTCCCTGACCCCCAGCCCTTATAGCCTGTTCCTCACACAGCAGCACAGGGACCCCCTTAAAAGGTAAATCAAATGAGGGCAGTTTTCACTCTTTTCCAGAGGATCTTACATCAATCCAAGTAAAACCAAAGACCTCAGGAATGGCTTTAAAGATGCCTCATGATACACACTCCCTCACTTCTCTGACTTCATCTCTTCCCGCCCTCCCTCACCCACTCTGTCCCAGCCCTAAAGCCTCCTCCATGTTCTTCAAATCTTCTGGGCAACCAGGCAATGGCTCTTTCTTCTGCCAGGAACGCTCTGTCCCCACACACTCTCCTGGTTCACTTTCTCACCTCCTTCAGACTTCTGAGGCCCTCAAATGTAGTGTCATGTCATTATTAAATTATTACATTTTATAGTTAATTATATTTTCTATTACACTATAAATGTAATAAATACAATCCAATTATCTTCATATATGCAGTCATAATGTATTCTTCTCCTTATAGAATAGGGAACTCTGATGTCCTAATGGTGGGTAAGGAGTTGTGCTGTCAACCCAAAAGCTGAGTTCAAAAGTTCAAATCTATTAGCTGCTTTGCAGGAGAAAGATAAGCAATCTTCCCTTACGTGATTTACAGCCTCTGAAAACCTGCTGAAGGGTCAGCTATGCGTCAGGTCCAACTTGAGGGCACATAACACCAACAACATTCAAGTATCACAATTTTAATCACATGGGTGACCCTCCCTTCCTTTCCTATTTGAAATTATAAACCCAAAGCTTCCTTCTAATGTCTTATCCTTTCCCTATTTAACTGGTCTCCAAAGCACTTAACCCACCTGACCTACCTCACCCACTCCAAACCCACTGCTGTCAACTTGACTCCAATTCATAGTGACCTGATAATGCAGAAGAGAATGACCTCATAGGCTTTGTTTTTAAGCCAAGTGCCACATTTTCCTCCTGAAAAACGGCTGGTAGATTCAAACCATCACAACATCAAGTCCTATTATGACTCCTGCAATGTTTACCATCCTCTATTCCATAATCCATGGAATGTAAGCTCCATGAGGGCAGGGATATGTCTGTTCTGTTCCTCAAAGTTTTTCCAGCACCTAGCTTGCTGGTATGGAGTGAGTACACAGGAAATACATATTGAATGAATTAAATCATTTTCCTTGCTGCTAAGGAAAATATACTGAAGTAAAAGACAAGGTCTCTGCTTCAGGGAGTTTAAAGTCTCACTGAGAAGACAAATCACACACTCACAAGAGTTAATAACATGAGAAATCTGTATTGGTGCCAACTGGTGGTACCAGATGTGGGTTTTGTCAGAGTTCAGAGCTTGGCCAATCAGTGAAGGTGTGAAGCAGGAGGCAGGAGTGCTGCAGTCTTGAATAATTCATTGAATTCCCTGTAAGACATTAGTGAATCAGATGAGCTGGATGTCTCTTAGCACAGCCCTGAGGGGAAGGGACACAGGATGAATAAATTTTGACTGAGAAGAAGATAGTATAGATGGAGGCCTGGCACTGCAAGCGGTGCTGGACATGCACAGGGCAATATAAATTGGTAAAGAGAAAAAGGCTGAAGGAGCCCCACTTCTCATCTTTGACAATTCACAAGCCTTGTGGAGGGTGAGATAAAGGCTATGTTCCCCTTCTCAGAGATACTGTCTGAGAGAGAAAAAGAAAAGAAACACCTTTGTAAGACACCAGGCTAGAAAAGGTGGAGGGTCAGAGAAAAAGAGGAAGACCTTCAATAAGATGGACTAACATGGTGATTATAACAATGGGCTCCAGCATAGTGAGGACGGTGCAGGATACACTGCCAGGCGCAGCGGGCATGACGGTACCTA